CAGATGTACAGCAGTCTTTTGAATGTAGGGTCCAGTATAATTATTTATTTAAAAGGATCAATACTATAAAACAGGCGGCGTGTTTTAGGGGTCCACAATATCTCTTTTCTTCAGGGCTTCATAAAGTGTTACTTTCAGGAGTGTCTGGACTCAAAGAAAATAAAGAGTGATAGTTCACAGTTTATGTATTAGGCTGGGCCGACACCTTACAAACATCGCAAGACTTTTGTCTTGCGTTGGTTGTAAGGTACTTAAAAAAACGTACAATCTGCCCATCTTGCATAGGCAGATCATACTTGCGATGATCGCCCTGAGGGGCGGGCTTCCGATGACCGCAATGCCGAATGGGCAGTGTGCGCTTGCGCACACCGGCCCGTACGGCTGTTATCGTACGGACATGCCACAAACCCGCCGAACATCGTACGATGCTCGGCGGGTTTTCGAACATGTCCGTAAGTTAAAAGTCGTGCGACCTTACAGTAATAGAGGTCGCACGCCTTCCACACACCTTACGATCATCGTACGATCGCGGGATTTCCCGCGATTATCGTACGATTATCGTAAGGTGTGTGGGGACCTTAGAATGACAAGGCAACAGAGGAGACAATATGGCCAAATATTGGACATTTCAATCTAATCTAATCTGTCCAAACACTCCTTAAAGGAACTAAGTAACAATTTATGAAGCTCTGATGGAGTGGGAATTTGTGGACTGCCCAAACATGTTGACTGTTTCATTATGTTGATACTTTTAAATAAATTAATTTATGTTAATTGTGGTGGTGCCCCGTTTGTTTTCCTCTGAATTTCCTTAATACCCTTTATTTTAAACATCTTAAAAGGACAGATCAAAGTGTTGGATTCCAAAAACAATAGGTATGTAGCGCCTTAGTTTTCACACATCCATACTAGGTCTATCGGACAGGAAGCCCAACAGCCAACTGAAGGAGCTTGTATGGCAGGGCTAGCCAAACTCCGGCCCTCCAGCTGTGGTGAAACTACAAATCCCATGATGCATCTCTCTTCGGGAGTCATGTCTGTGGCTGTGAGAAACTTGCAATGCCTCATGGGATTTGTAGTTCCACCACAGCTGGAGGGCCGGAGTTTGGCTACCAATGTTGTATGGCAAAGAGCACACTGCTGTTAATTGAGAAGCGGTGGAGTAGTGTTGTCAATCTACAACAGGAAGTGTTGTTACTGGCAGGATCTCCAGGTAAGACATTTTACAACAGATTCACAAGAATTGATTCACTTAATAAAACTGTATACAGTGAGACATGGTGCCAAACATACTGAAAATAGATTCAGGGCCCATTCGCACCTTGTCCGGATCAGATGCGGTACAATTTTCTTCCGCACCAAAAATGCATCCCAATGCATTTGTATGTGATTTTTGGGCTCTGGTCACACAAGTCCAGTCCGTTCCAGTGCAGGAAAAAAAATGCTGCATGTCACATTTTCCCTGCACTGGAACGCACCGGAACGCGTCACAAATGCATCACAAACACACCGCACTGGAATGCAACAGAAGCTATGACATGGAGCAGGAAGAGATTAATTTGCATAATGACATTACCCCCCCAAAAAATAAAGAAAACGCACTGGAATGCGTCACAAACGCACTGCACAGCTTTTGCAGAAACGTGTGCAGATCTGGTCCGGGCATGGTGTGACAGGGCCCTTAGGGCTTACGTATACTTTCGTTTTTACCTTTGCAAAAGCAAAACAATTTAATTAAGAGCGATTTGTTTTATATTTAACATATATGAGTTAAAAGTGACATTGTTTGTAAACTGATAAATTGCGCTATCTTCTTTCCTTTTATCAATCCGAAGTTTATATAAAGCAAGTATTTGCCTCATTTTCAAAAAATAAAGTTGAACTCTTTAAACATAACCTGTTCTACCCTATCAGGTCCTCTATCTTATCTTTGATTTGTATTCTCAGATGTTTTGACATTTCGTGGTAAAAATTAGCAAACCATTGCCTGAAATTTCAGCAAATATATTGAGATCTCAGCAAAATCTTGCTATTTTGGTCAGGTGGGGCCATTGAGGAGAGTGACATTAAGGTGGTTTTTAGGGATACAAAAGGTTTTTCATGGCTTCCTACTGTTATAGAAGCTCCGTTCAACTAAATTAAAGGAGAACTATGGGGTCAGGGCTTTTCCCCATAGTTCTCCTTAGGGTAACGGGAGGACACAAACTAGCGTCCTCCAGTCACCCTAAGCTCAGTATACCGCGAGCTACAGCGCGCGGTGTACTGAGACGCCGCAGCTGAAGCCCGACAATTATGCCGGGATCCACCCAGCTGCGTGAGTGACAGCTGGCTCTGCCTATCTAGAGGCAGAGCCAGCTGTACCCGCTCCCTCCCCCGTCCGTTTTGACATGAGAGGGGGGCGCTGGACAATGACAAGCAGGCTCCAAGCTTAAAAAAAAGAAATTTACAGTCAGGCAAAAAAAAAAGTCCACTCTGGGGGCCTCGGCTGTGAGGACCCGACCCAGCGACCAACCTACATATATTATCAAAGACGGAGAGAGACCTGCGGCGCCTTTGACTGGGACCGGGTTAGTTCTAATCAATGAAATGCTTGTCTTCAGAGCCTCAGCCTCCCACTAAGGGCCTGTTCACATGAGATCAGGTCCTGACGTGGAGCTGCTGATGCATTGCGTTTTTGGCCGCGTTTTTGATGTGTTCCAGCAGTGGGGCTGTTAGTATGTTAGCTGCAGCGCAATGCGTTTTTGATGCGTTTCGTGCACGTTTGCGTATCCTGACCGTTTCCGGACCTGACAAAATGTGACATGCAGTATTTTTTCTGTCGTAAGCTGAACGGACTGCGCACGTGAGAACTGTAGCCCATAAAACACATAGGGATACATTGGGATGCATTTTGAGTGCAGCAGCGTACAAAGCCGGTCAGCACACAAAACAGACGTCATGTGAACAGGCCCTAAAGGTGGCCATACACTTTACAACCATCGCAAGACCTTAGCCTTGCGAGGGCTGTAAAGTAATTAAAAAAAGGTACGATCTGCCCATCTTGGACAGGCAGATCGTACTTGCGATCATCGCAAGCCCGCCCCCCTGAGGGGCGGGCTTCCGATGACCACAATGCTGAACGGGCAGTGTGCGCGTGCGGCATTGATCTTACGATCATGCTAAAAACCAGCCGAAAATCGTACGATTCTCGGCTGGTTTTCTAGCGTGCTCCTTAGACAAAAGACGTGCGACCGTACAGTAAAAACGGTCGCACGCCTTCCATACACTTTGCGATTATCGTACGATCGCGGGATTTCCCACGATTATCGTGCGATAATCGCACAGTGTATGGGCACCTTTAGCTTCCTCCGACTGTCTGAACTGAGACCAGCCAGTGTCAGACAGTTGAGATGATGACTACCTGCCATTAGTGGAACTTAAAAGTTTTAAGTTCATCTACATTCTATAATGGCATTGTATTAAAGTCCTAGAGATACAATGCCATTATAGAACATAGAATAACTGTTTTTTTACAGGGGTGGCAAACTCAGGCCCTCTAGCTGTGGTGAAACTACAAATCCCATGATGCATCTGCCTCTGCGAGTCGTGCCCGTGGCTGTGAGAATCTTGCAAAGCCTCAAGGGACTTGTAGTTCCACAACAGCTGGAGGGCCGGAGTTTGCCACATAGATACACTTAAATGTGCTATTCTTAGTTCTATAATGGCATTGTAGTACTTTCAGGTGTACAGTAATTCATACAGTTTCATTACATACAGGGAACTACATGACAGGGACACACACACCAGCTAGGGAACTACAAGTCCCAGCATGCCCTCATTGTCCCTGTACAACAAACAGATATTGCCGTTCCCTGGGTGATATGTGTGTGTGTGTGTGTGTGGCGGGGGGGAGGAGGTTGTACAGGGACAATGAGGGCATGCTGAGACTTGTAGTTCCCTAGCTGATATGTGTGGGGGGTACAGTTCCATGACAACAAGTCCCAGCATGCCCTCATTGTCCCTGTACAACACCCCCCCCCCACACACACACATATCACCCAGGGAACTACAAGTCCCAGCATGCCCCCATTGCCCCTCTGCACCCACACATATTACCCAGGAAACTACAAGTCCCAGCATGCCCTCATTGTTCCTGTACGCTTCCCACTTATCATCCAGGGAAATACAAGTCCCAGCACGCCCCTATTGTCCCTATACACCCCCACATATCACCCAGGAAACTACAAGTCCCAGCATGCCCTCATTGTCCCTGTATACCCGGGGTATTCATAAAAAATGTAATGCCCTTTACATGTGGTGAATTACCCGTATAACCAGAGTGGACGTTTATATAATGGGGTGTTTATATGATGGGGCGGTGGGGGGGCGCAAAAACAAAATGTCTGCCCCGGGCGCCTATAACTCTGGTTACGCCACTGTGGCTCCTCTCTAAGATAAATAAGGTTAATTTATTTAATTGTTCCTCATTGCTGAAGTCCATCAACCCCCTTATCAATTTCATTGCCCTTCACTGGACTCATTCCAGTTGCAGAATATCCCTTCTATTGATTGGCGACCAAAACCAGACTGCGTACTCATACTCAGGTGCAGAAATGTTAGATAAGTGATACCCTAAATTTGGTAATTAACATTTGTAAGGATGCGAGCTTGCAGGACCCTTCAGGTCCCTCCTCGGGCTTTATGCAGTTTTAAAAATAGCAGAACAATTTTCAGAATTGTATAAAGTCTAAGGAAGGGAGCTGAGCGGTTCCAAAAGTTTGATTTTTTATTAATATAAGTTAGCCAATCAAGAGTATCACTTAACCTCCAAACTTTCTGCATGAATTAATGGCTAACACAGCACATGGCTGTCTTCAGCAGACAAAGGGTTACTGGGGGGAGGGAGGATCTCACGTTACAAGGAGGCCAGCTCACACTTTACATTTCAAAGCCTCCATTCATGCCCAGTGTATAAGACCGCTGCTCTGAAGTCGTATCACGTGTTAATATCCTTCTCCAGAATGGAATCTGCTGACCTGAAAGAGGAGCTGAACTGCTCCATCTGCCTGGGCCTTTATACGGAGCCCATATCGCTGAAATGTGGACATAACTTCTGCTGGGACTGTATTGTGACCGTGCTGGATACACAGAAGTCTGGAGATTATTCCTGTCCTGAGTGCAGGGAGATGTTTACCGAGCGCCCTTCCCTGGAGAAGAACAGGAAGCTGTGTAACATCGTGGAGCACTTCAGATCCGCTCACCAGGAGGAAGTAGAGGTCTTGTGTACGTACTGTGACCCTCCTGTCCCAGCTTCTAAATCGTGTCTGCACTGCGAGGCCTCGTTCTGTGAGAAGCACCTGAGCAACCACAGCAAGTCAGCGCATCATATTTTAATTGAACCCACCACATCTTTTGGAGATAGAAAATGCTTCACACATCAAGAGATGCTGAAATATTACTGCACAGAGGATAGAGCCTGTATCTGTATGTCCTGCTGGGTGGCTGGAGACCACAGGGGACACCAGGTGGAGCTTCTGAAGGAGGCCTCTGAGAAGACGAAAGAGGAACTGAGAGAATTAATAAACGAATTGGACTCCAAGAAACAGGAGATTCAGAGGAGAATCCAGAATCTGGAAAACCACAGGGCACAAGAGGATGGAAAAACAACTGCTGTTGTCAGGAGAGCCGTTGAGCTGTTTAGAGAAGTCAAGAAACAGTTGGATGATATAGAGAAAAGGGTTCTGCTGGAGATGTGCAGACAGAAGAAGCAGATCTCACAGTCAGTCTCTGATCTGATCCAGCAGCTGGAGGAACAGAAGGACGAGTTGTGCAGGAAGATTCATCAGATGGAAGAACTGGGTAACATCCAGGATCCATTAACTTTCTTGAATAAGGCACCTAAAAGGGATGACATGAGTCCTGAGACAGGTGACACCATCAGCGACGTAAGGAATGTTGGCTGTCTGGTTGAGGGAATCATCTCAAAGATGCTACAGAGAGGACTTTGCGGCTTTCATCAAAGTCTGAGGGATCTGATGACAAAGAGACAATTTTCAGTGCTGGAGAAATCTGACGTTTTGCTGGATATAAATACTGCTCACGACAACCTCATAATAGCAAAGAAACGCAAGAGAGCCACTCACATTGACAACGGTGTCAACAGGCCGGATGGTCCAAAGAGGTTTAAAAGCTGCCAGGTATTAAGTATAGACAGCTTCACATCCGGGACACATTACTGGGAGGTTGATGTGAGCGAAGCAGAGGAATGGCTGATCGGGGTGGCCACTCAAAGCATGGAGAGGAAGATAAAAGGAAATGAATCTTTTATAGGCTATAATGACAAGTCATGGAGTCTGAGTCAAAGAGCTTCAATTCTTCAAGTCAGGCACAAGAACATTGTTACAAATATAGACTCCAAATCTTTACTGAAGACTGTCGGGATCCATCTGGATTATGAGGCCGGGCGTCTGTCCTTCTACCAGCTGTGTGACCCCATCAGACACCTCCACACCTTCACCGCCACCTTCACTGAACCCCTCTATCCCGCTTTCTACATGTTTCCAAAAAGCTCCATCAGAATTATAAAGTAAATACCATAACAGACTGAGAAAGCGGAGTTACAGTTTTAATTGCATTTTCATATATTACTATAAAAGGTAATTTTCTGTCATTTAAAATACATATATCCAAATTTTGTTTCTGTTATGGATTGAGTAAGAAAGTAATAGAACCTGTTAGAAGAAAACGGATATTATTTTGTAGATTCACCATCTCTATTATTCTTGGTGACCAAAACAAAAAGTGATGAGAAATCCAAAATGTTTAAGTTGTTACCAGAACAAAAGGCGCAGGTACATTTTTTCAATGGGGACAATCTGGGTTCCTGTTCAATCGGAGTTCCCCCTCACTTTGGAGAGATTGCCTCTCACTTCCTGTGGCATCTCCAGGACAGGAAGTGAAGGACAATCTCCTCAATGGCATTTAGGCAGCAACAAATAAACTTACAAGTTGTTTTTTTTTAACCCTTTCCCTATTCTAACAATAACTAACAAAAACATGTTTTTGCTATACATACATTGTAACTATTATAATGGATATGAAGATCAATGTTTCACTCTTCCCAATTCCATCCAAACCAAACAAGAAAAGCATTTGGCTATGCAGACACTTAAACTGTTTTCATGGTTGTGAAAATTAAATGCTGGCAACATAAACAGGACTTCTAAGAGATCTTATGTTCCCTTTATTTGGGTTGTTATAATCCAGTGAGTATTTGTACAATTCTATGGTTAATGATTATAAATGCTCTGTAGTCTGTACACAAATTATAAATGCTCTGTAGTCTGTACACTTCCATAGCATTTGGCTATGCAGACACTTAGGGCCTGTTCACATGATATCAGATCCGGATCAGGTGCGGATCTGCAGATGCGGTGCTACTGATGCAGTGCGTTTTGGCCGCGTTTTGCATTTCCGGTCCGTTTCCTGACCGTACAAAATGTGACATGCAGTATTTTTTCTGTCGTAAGCTGAACGGACTGCGCACTGTAGAACTGTAGCCCAAAAAACACATAGGGATACATTGGGATGCATTTTTAGTGCAGGAGCGTACGGATCAGGTCAGCACAGAAAACGGACGTCGTGTGAACAGGCCCCTAAACTGTTTTCATGGTTGTGAAAATTAAATGCTGGCAACATAAACAGGACTTCTAAGAGATCTTATGTTCCCTTTATTTGGGTTGTTATAATCCAGTGAGTATTTGTACAATTCTATGGTTAATGATTATAAATGCTCTGTAGTCTGTACACTTCCTTTGTGGATCACACTTGTTTGCAAATGTTCATTCTTCTGCCAGTAAACCTTTCTGCTTTCTAAAAGAGGTGTTTGTCTCATTATGTGTAAAGCTGCCCATACACCTTACAACCATCGCACGACTTTCGTATGACCTGCCCATCATGGACAGGCAGATCGTACTTGCGATCATGGCAAGTCCTCCCCGCTGAGGGGAGGGCTTGCAGATGATTGCAATGGTGAGCGGGCAGTGTGCGCTTGCGCACCTCGGGTCATGCGGCTTTCATCTTGCGATCGCGCTACCAACACGCCGACAATCGCACGATTTTCGGCGGGTTTTCTAGCGTGCTCGTTATACGAAAATCGTACGACCGTACAGTAAATCCGGTTGCACGCTGCCCATCAACCTTATGATTATCGTACGATCGCGGGATCACCGTACGATAATCGTCAGGTGTATGGGCACCTTAAGGTGTTACCTTTGGATATGTAGCAGGTGTCCTATAAGATAAAAGTGGTAAGCAATGATAGAAGGCGAACCCAAATTTCAGTTCATTCCGATAGCAAATATTGGGATTGAGTTACTAAAGGTAAATAGGATGTTCAGTTTTTCCAAAAAGCTCCATCAGAATTATAAAGTAAATACCATAACAGACTGAGAAAGCGGAGTTACAGTTTTAATTGCATTTTCATATATTACTATAAAAGGTAATTTTCTGTCATTTAAAATACATATATCCAAATTTTGTTTCTGTTATGGATTGAGTAAGAAAGTAATAGAACCTGTTAGAAGAAAACGGATATTATTTTGTAGATTCACCATCTCTATTATTCTTGGTGACCAAAACAAAAAGTGATGAGAAATCCAAAATGTTTAAGTTGTTACCAGAACAAAAGGCGCAGGTACATTTTTTCAATGGGGACAATCTGGGTTCCTGTTCAATCGGAGTTCCCCCTCACTTTGGAGAGATTGCCTCTCACTTCCTGTGGCATCTCCAGGACAGGAAGTGAAGGACAATCTCCTCAATGGCATTTAGGCAGCAACAAATAAACTTACAAGTTGTTTTTTTTTAACCCTTTCCCTATTCTAACAATAACTAACAAAAACATGTTTTTGCTATACATACATTGTAACTATTATAATGGATATGAAGATCAATGTTTCACTCTTCCCAATTCCATCCAAACCAAACAAGAAAAGCATTTGGCTATGCAGACACTTAAACTGTTTTCATGGTTGTGAAAATTAAATGCTGGCAACATATACAGGACTTCTAAGAGATCTTATGTTCCCTTTATTTGGGTTGTTATAATCCAGTTAGTATTTGTACAATTCTATGGTTAATGATTATAAATGCTCTGTAGTCTGTACACAAATTATAAATGCTCTGTAGTCTGTACACTTCCATAGCATTTGGCTATGCAGACACTTAGGGCCTGTTCACATGATATCAGATCCGGATCAGGTGCGGATCTGCAGATGCGGTGCTACTGATGCAGTGCGTTTTGGCCGCGTTTTGCATTTCCGGTCCGTTTCCTGACCGTACAAAATGTGACATGCAGTATTTTTTCTGTCGTAAGCTGAACGGACTGCGCACTGTAGAACTGTAGCCCAAAAAACACATAGGGATACATTGGGATGCATTTTTAGTGCAGGAGCGTACGGATCAGGTCAGCACAGAAAACGGACGTCGTGTGAACAGGCCCCTAAACTGTTTTCATGGTTGTGAAAATTAAATGCTGGCAACATAAACAGGACTTCTAAGAGATCTTATGTTCCCTTTATTTGGGTTGTTATAATCCAGTGAGTATTTGTACAATTCTATGGTTAATGATTATAAATGCTCTGTAGTCTGTACACTTCCTTTGTGGATCACACTTGTTTGCAAATGTTCATTCTTCTGCCAGTAAACCTTTCTGCTTTCTAAAAGAGGTGTTTGTCTCATTATGTGTAAAGCTGCCCATACACCTTACAACCATCGCACGACTTTCGTATGACCTGCCCATCATGGACAGGCAGATCGTACTTGCGATCATGGCAAGTCCTCCCCGCTGAGGGGAGGGCTTGCAGATGATTGCAATGGTGAGCGGGCAGTGTGCGCTTGCGCACCTCGGGTCATGCGGCTTTCATCTTGCGATCGCGCTACCAACACGCCGACAATCGCACGATTTTCGGCGGGTTTTCTAGCGTGCTCGTTATACGAAAATCGTACGACCGTACAGTAAATCCGGTTGCACGCTGCCCATCAACCTTATGATTATCGTACGATCGCGGGATCACCGTACGATAATCGTCAGGTGTATGGGCACCTTAAGGTGTTACCTTTGGATATGTAGCAGGTGTCCTATAAGATAAAAGTGGTAAGCAATGATAGAAGGCGAACCCAAATTTCAGTTCATTCCGATAGCAAATATTGGGATTGAGTTACTAAAGGTAAATAGGATGTTCAGTTTGCAAGGGAATTTGCACTTTGCGTTGGAAGTTTCCCTTTAGCTTGGTGAATGTGGTGACATTTCAATTTGCAAAGAATACCCAATCATGTGCAAGGGAAGTAAAAACTTTTGCTTGCACATGATTGGCTGATGGAAGTCAGCAGAGCTTCACCTCATTCACTAATAGTGCTCCCTCAATGGTGTCTGTGGAAGGAATTGTGCTCCATCAATGGTGTCTTTGGCAGGAACAGTGTCACATGAATGGTAGAGATGTCCAGTTCATGAACGAATCGTTCTTTTGAATCGATTTTATTCACTGAACTGGTGGAGTCGATTCAGCTGAGTGAGCCGATCCGTTTGCAGCAGCTCCGTGTGACGTATAGCAGAGACTCTAGCTGGCCAGCTTGTAATATGACCCTAGAGTGAAAGCCAGGCTTCTGCCAGCCCCTCCCCTCCCATCCCTGCAACCAATCACATCCGAGTCACAGTACACAGAGTCTAATCATATGAGTCGGCTGAGTCTAAGCCCTCGTTCACACCTGAACGTTTTGTAGCGCGTTCTACGCTCGACGAACGCTCTACAAAACGCTCAAAAATATAAATCCCATTGTATTCAATGGTCTCGTTCCCACCTTGGCGTATTTCCGCCCGTCCCGAACGCGCTACAAAACGGCCCACGCCGGAAAAGGTACAGGTACTACTTTGGGCCGTTTTGTTGCGCGTTTCCATTGGGATACAGCGAAGTAGCCTTCGGAAACGCGCAACTTTTTTACAGCGAATCGCAGTTAAGAAACGTGCGACAGACGCGCATATGCAATACGCCTAGGTGTGAACGAGACCTAAGAATCAAAAGAATCTACTAGTTAAAATCGAATCAGTTTACTTAGTTAGTAGACTCATTTGATTCTTTAACTCGGTAAACTCTTTTAGATTCTTTGAGTTAAAGAGTCCCCACCAGTAAAACAATACACGGAATCAATTAGCAGGTTGCAGCAGTGATAAGGGACAGAGAGAGTTTAGATCAGAGGAGATCCTCATTCAGATTGATGGTTTAACCCTTTAGAATCAAATTGGCTTCTCAAGGATATATATATAGATATATATAGATAGATATATATAGATATATATAGATAGATCTGTACCTTTAATATATATAGATAGATATATATAGATATCTATCTATATATATCTATCTATATATATTAAAGGTACAGACATCCCTTCTGAAACATCTGTCTCATTCAGTAGCTATATAATAAAATGAGAGAGCTGTCTTTTTTTAATAACATAAAAATACATTTAAACCTCCTTTTTAATTATATTATTTACCCCTCCAGTCCTGAGTTTTTCACCCCCCCCATACTT